TGATATAGGGAAGGGATATTAGTGATTAATTTTTTAAACTTTGAAAGTTTTTAATAAAATATATGAAAATTATTGTCCGAAACTTTATTGTATGATTAGATCTAAAAATCTGTTTAATATGATATAAAATTAATATTTGTTTTCAAATTCTTATTAATATATCTCTATAATTTGGTTCGTGACTTACTCCCCGTATAAGGTCGGATATTTGTATTATACTAATTATCAATAAGAATTAGTTGAAGTGTGCACAAATTAGATAAATAAGATATTTAAGGTTTCTTATAAGAGTAATGCTACAGTTACTGACGGGTGTGCACCGAATGACGTGGTAAAATCCTGATCGTTGATTTATTATCAGTTAATATTAATCAATGGTTAGGATTTTGTCACGTCATTCGATGCACAAATTCGGTGTAAACTTTTTGATAACTCTATCATTTTCCTTTTTATAAATATTGGTATGATAAAATATCAATTTACTTTCAAACTCGAATTTAAAAAAAAATCTGATTGAACATTAATATTATTATTTTGACAAGCTTAATCTACTCACTTTAGTGTTCTCGTAATTCAAACAAAAAAACAAATAATATCCAAATTTAATGAAAATTAAAAACGAAAAAATGCAATAAAAATTTCGATAAATTAGTTAAGAATTAAAAAAAAAGTGCGCGTGGGCAATACTGAAATAGAGGGGAGTGGGGAAAATTTTATAAAGGTGGGAGGTTTAGGGAAGCGTGTGGGGTGATTGGGTTTTGGATCGAAACTATAAAAGGAGAAGCCTAGGGGTCGGACTGGGACTAGCAATAGGAATAGGAATAGGCAACTCAGTAGTACAAAAGCCAGAGAGAGTGTTACACGTGGCACAATACTGAGGGTTTCAGTGACAGTTGTGAGTGACGGTCGGTCGCTCCAGATCTGGCAGTAATATTTATTATTTTTTATCCTCAAAATTTTTAGCCCCTCTCTCCTCTCTGCTCCCTTCCTCTACATTCTCCTTAAACTCCTCACCTCTTTTTTTTAAAAATAAAATAAAATAATTATATTGTTTATGAAACTGCTGAAAGAAATTCTGCCACGTTTCCTGCCAGAAATGCAATTAATTCGGGGAGTTAAAAAAATCATAATATTATATATTTTTAAAATTAATAAATTAAGAGATAATTTTGGAAATTAAAGGAGGAATACTGAGAAAAGGGGTTCTTAATAATAATAAAAATTAAATATTTAATTTTGATTGGAAATAAAATGTATAATATAATCTCAAATCAATCTATTTGTTACCAATTTTTGGGGATAATAAATTAACATTTCCCAAGGAAAGGTCACTTCCACGGTCATCAAAGGTTAAGATCACAAGATTTATTCTTACTCAAAAAGGACTTTACTTTTATTAGAAGCATAAATATTAGTTTACCTAATTTCATTACACATTTGTCCAATCAATCCTTATATTATACTTCAATTATTCCACATAATTGAATTTTTATATTATATTTACAATAATTTTTTTTTAAAATTATTTTAAGTAAGATGTTTAAGAGAATGATTTGTTGAATCATGACTTAATGATCTAAAATAAATTTATAGAATAATTTTTGCGTAAATCTCAGGTTTCTCGAGATAGGTCAAAAAGTGAAAAGAAAAAAACACACCAATTACATTATGATCAATAAAGTGTCTGTTTTTTCAATATAGTATTTAAAAGATACTCGTTTATATATATATATATAACTTGAATTTTATTCTTTTTTTTTTTCGAAAGACCATTGTCGTCGCCAGAACGATAATACCCCTTTTGAAAAACAAATTAGGTATGATTCTAATGCAAGACATAGGATTTAAGATGAAGAATAATACTTGGGGTACTAATGGATGAGTACTAATATGTGTACTAACTAAAGCATAGTACCCGTACTATGCGCATAGTACGGATACTACGCTTTAGTTAGTACACATATTAGTACTCATCCATTAGTACCCATAGCATTACTCTAAGATGAATGACTAAAGGGTGAATAACCTAGTAGGACCGTTTGTTAAATAATAATAAATAAATAAATAAAAGAAAATCAAAACTTAGAATAGTTCCCCTATTCTATAGATTGGGCCCTAATAAATGTCAAATATAATTTGGGGGTAGGGAGGATCAAACTATCAAATTAGAGTTGGTATTGGGCTCAATCTAGGACTAGGCCTCTCTATATATAGAGCCAAATTTTTTGCATAATTATATGATAGTATGGTCCCTTGAATTAGATGACTTATTTTACATAGTTGGCAAGCTTTAAAAGTGGATAGTGATATGCAAGAAGAAGATGAAGAAGGACCCCTACCACTCACTTATTATAAGTGTCAAAGATCCCAAAGTCTTTATCAAAATAATTGACAAAAAGAGTTGAAGCTTTTAATTGTTTTTTGGTACATAAATTTGGCCCCTCTCCACAACCTTGGCTCTTATGATAGACATTGGAATTTCATCTCTTGCTTCAATTATGTGCATAAATTAATTGTCACACTCCCTTTTGCCTAAATAATTGGGAACTTATTTAATCCACCAAAAAGTCCAACTTAAGATTTGCTTACTATTTTCAATAATTGACTAGCATTGTAAAATCTCCATTAAAATTCATCACCAACCTCTTCTTTAAAGTCTCATGACTATTTATTGCCAGCCTTTCATGTGGGGGGGAGTTGTTCACTTTCATTCTTGTAAATGGGTTTGCTTGTAATTAGGCCATACTTCAAAAGGGTATTATTGGATTTTACATTAAATTAATGAATAATTTTTTTTGAAATAGGTTGTTTAGGACATTTTTCGCCTACTTCAGTTAATTTTTGTTTTGACTATCACAATATCTCACTTTTATGATCACATATTTAAATCTTGGATTTTACATTAAATTAATGAATAACACAACATGTGTAAACTTCTTATATAGATTCGTTTTTGCAGACTGATGTGTTATAATATGATTAAATGACTTAAAATTATAAAATAAATGATACATCAAACATACGTCAAATAAGCCCACACTTATAAATTTATTATTAATATAATCTTGTAATTAATGTATTTCTGGCACTTTGTAGAGACATGCATTACACATGATTTGTCTTGCACATAATTAGTAAAATTTTGACAATACATGGAGAGAAAATACAAAAAGAATTAGAAAATATGCTCATGATTTGATGTATTGGAAGTGGATTGTTTTAGTAAAGTTTTTAATGGGCTAAAAATCTTAAGTAACCCAAAGTATTGTATTGATGGGCTCATCTTTGTTGGCCTACAATTTTATATTCTATTTTGAAAACGATATTGGGGTTAGCCCTTTATTGGGAAATAAATACATTACTTGTTGAAGGTAAATAATTTCAAGTGAAAGATCAAATTTGATCATTTAAAATTTATTCTTGAATGTACAGCTTACACTCAATGGCTTCACCCCTTGTATTTGGTCTTTGGCCTCTTGGCTTCAATTTTTTTTTTTTTTTTTTTTTTTTTTTTTTTTTTTTTTTTTTTTTTTTTTNAAAAAGTTGGTGGGAGAGATAAATTTTTTTTTTATTAAAACCCATACCCAAACTTAAAACGACTATTAAAAAAAAAAGGGAGAGAGTATTTGACTATTTGATAAGCAAACTATGTCAATTGTATGTTGATTAATTATAAATTTAGTGGTGATGAAAATTTAAGTATTATTTGTGGTATGTATACAAAAATATATATGGTTGTGAATTGCATATTATTGATGTTTAATTTTGACACTAACTACTCACGGGTGTGAAGTGCTATGTGGACTTAGAAATCACATGTGGTAGCACTTTTTAAAGTGGTTCGGACGCTCTAAGGCGAATCCTACGTCCATTGTAATTATATTAATAGGTGGTTACAATTAAGTCTCGCTCAGTGAGTTGGATTACAATAGAGAAAATAAATGTAAAGGGAGAGAGGGAGAGAGTGAATATATGTTTTGAGCGGTGGATTAACCAATCTCGTAAAATAGAGGAGAGCTCTCTATTTATAGTTGGAGGATTCAAGCTAGTAATCATGACTCTGCGTGCAGGCAGGTGTGGTACAATTCCTAACCCACTTCCCATTGATTGTCTGCACGAGAGATATCCTTAAATCGTGTGAGGCTTCAGCAAGTGGACAATTCTTAACCACTCATAAGCCTGACGTTCACCTGCCTCACTGACTATAGCCTTACCCCTTTCGTCTTTGCGGGACATGGCTGTATCCAGACGGCAGAAAACCTTCCTGAATTCTTATTGGTCTTCACTGATTTAAGCTCACGTCAATCCTGATTTTTTGGGCATAGCAATATATATATATAAAGAATTCCTAATTCAAGTCTAATTTCTGATTATATATATATAAAGAATTCCTAATTCAAGTCTAATTTCTGATTTAATTTATTTTTACACTCCTTGTAAGCCATTAATCTTTTATCAATCCAATGGTACGGAGAGATACTCTATTTTATTACCGTTAGATTAATTAAGATAATCGGTTGAAAAAGAATATTGAAAAATGAAGTAAAAAGGTTTATAAATTTCAGTATCTCTTCGTATACAACCCCTTTAAGTTTTACACCCATTCTTGTAGTTAATCGATCATATTTCTTTGCCGCACTCCCTTAGTTAACAACGTTAACACTATGGAAGAGCTATTCCTGCTCATCATTTATCCTCCATCGTTAGTGTTTAACAAACTCCACACTGGTATTTATAGTATCTAACAGTGATGAACATCAGTAGTTTGCGGCCACAGTTTTTCGAGAGTACTAATTAATAATTAAGCATATGAATTAGTCTTAATTAGAGGACTTAATTTCCTGTAATTACAATACACATTTGACAAATTCTAAACAATAAGCTTGATCAATTCTTAATATCACCATTATCATTAACATTATATAAGAGTTTGTACAATTTCTAAACCCAGTATTTAACAATTTCCCTAATTAATTATAATAATAATCAAGAACAATTAATCAACAAGCTTTCTCTTGCTGTTTCCATTCCAGCCCTATGAACCTGCAAGGCGAAAACCTAATTTTGTGCTCAGAGATCGGTTCAAGCTTCGGTGACCAAACTTGATCCCTCGAGCCAACAAGCAAATCGTACTGTTTCTTTAGCTCCGGCGTGCTGCAAAGCAACGGGCTGGCGGATCCATCTTCATGATCAAGTTGTTTCCCTCTCTGTATAAGCCTGGTTATGAACTCGGGCACCACCTTGATCAAAACCCTACCGTTTTCGGCCTTTATGTATTCGAAGGGACGACACTGGTGGTCGAAGTTGATCACGGGGGAGACCCGTTTGGGGCTGGTGGTTGAAGAGGAAGAAGAAGAACTGAAGGCTGCGAGAGATGAAGCTGAAAGAACGTTGCATGCAAAACGATCGATGGGGAGAACGAAGTACGTTTGACCAGGCGTGAGCTCGTCGTCGATGGCGAGAGCGGGAAGCGGGTGACCGATGAAGAATGAATCTGCATGGCAAACCATTTTGTCCGGGGACTCAAACATGATCTCTCCGGCGATGTGTTTACCCTTGAGAATCCTTGTGTCTCCTTCCCAGAAGATCAACTTTACAGAAGCTTTCAAGGAGTTTTGCTGGAAGCACGGAGATATTGCATTACCCATTTGAGAGAAAGAGAGAGAGATTAGGGTTTACAGAGAAAGATTGGACAATTATATAGAAAAATGAAGGGGGGATTTGGATTTGTTTTGATTTTGACTTGGATAAAGTCTACGTTTGTTCTTTAGTATAGAGCGCGGAGAGAGCTAGGTTAAAGGCGATTGGGGTCGGTGGTCAACCAAGCCGGCTTTGAATCTCTCTTTCTGCAACTCTCTCTCTCTCTCTCTCTCTGCTCCAATCTTAATCAAAGACTTAACTTAGAACTTTAACCTTACCTTTGATTTCATTTAATATGGCTAAATATATCACTCGATCGTTTGGTGGAAGAAGATAACCTAATTTATTTTCTATATATATAAGAAAATCCTTAGAAAATGAAAGGTCCAAGATTTCAGAAATAAATTCTAATTACGTAGAATATTGAAATATATAGATTCATAAGTATATCAAAATTTGTATAACATAAACGAATCTTAAACCAATATAGTTGAACAGAGAACATTAATGTAATATATATATAGCTTTAAAACATGAAATATGAGACTAGTAATATAAACGTATGAAAGTATTCACATTATTATGATAAAATTTTTGAATTTCTTAAAACTCACTCTTTCTTATTGTTTTCATAAGGACCACACCTAATTAATGAATTCATAAGAAGATGTTGAACTTTTGTTTTTAGAGGGATTTTTGAGGTAGTAGATTACCAACGTTTAGTATTGATTTGTAACATATAAGATCATATTCATAATATATATAAGATGAAATGTGTTGATGATGTACTTAGCATTAAGTTTTAAATTACAAATTTAATTATGATAAAATGTAAGATATTATTTCTTGTCTATTTTCTTCCTATATAAACCCTAATAAGATCCCAAAACAATGAGTGATTCAAATTTCAAAATTTAAAACACAAGAAATAAAAGAGAACTTTACACTTGAATAAATGCAATGGATGATCTTCAAACCATTGAATTTTTTACTGTCTCTCTTTGAAGACCTTCCAATAACATGTGAAGTTACCAGAAAGCTAGCCGTTTGACCCAACCCACTTTAAGTAATTTAATAAATAAATAACATATAATAATTATCCATTATGATATAAATATTAATTGTTTCCTGAAAATAAATGATTCTCTTCATCCTTGGAGTGACTGGGTGGCTACTATTAATATATCATTTATGGACCGATTAAGACATATTATATTCTTATATTTTGTTCAAAATACAACAGCTCAAGAAAGTACCCAATTTGTTGATGTATTGATTGAAATCACATGGGTAATGGGTTTGATTTGATTTGATTTTAGGTTCAAGTGCACTGTGATTAATGTTCTTATATTTAAAAAAGATAAAAACCCTTAGAATCCAATACACGTAGCCACATAGTAGATTGTGGATTCAATTGAATCCATTGAACGTTTCAAATTTTTTTTTAAAAATATTAATATTTTATAGATTTTACAATTTTAATCTCACTTAGCTGTCTTTATAAAATGAATTATTAATTAATTTTTTTTAAACTTTTTTCTTTTCTTCATTTTCTCTCATATTATATTTTTTCTTTGGTTGGATACTAAAAAAATGCTACTCATTTGGATTGATGCTAATTTTTTATTTATTTATTTTTTTTACTTAAAATTCTTTTCTTTTAACTTTTTTAATCGATGAAAGATCATAAATTATGGGTTTTTGTTGAGTTTAATAAATGTGTTTGAAATAATTCCTAGATTTTGAGGTGATTTTTGATTTAATCTTGTTTATATTGAGGTATGCGTTAATTAGTTATTGTTTTAAGTTGGGTTTGATAAATTTAGTTATTGAGTTAATTTTGAATAGTTTAAAGAATTGATGAAACCCTAAGTTGTAGAGATTTGGGGATTTGTTTTAGTTTTGATTTAATCTTTGTTTATGTTAATGTATGGGTTAATCTTGGGAGATTAATTGTTAAATGATTGTCTTATTACATATATTGAGAGAGAGATATTTAATGGAATTGTCAACGAAGCAACGTTTTAAGAATATGAAAAATCGTCGAGGATAATTATAAAATTGTTAATTTGGTATATATAACTTTTAAAAGTACATTTTTTATGCTTATTACTTCAGTATCTATTTTATTGTAAATTTATCAACTTTGATGTTTTGAACCTACTGACTCAGAATCCTGACTACGTTCCTGTAGATGACCATCTTGTTTCTCAACAATATATAGTTAGCGTTTGATTACCATAAGTTAACCTTAGTAACACACGGTAGGGGTGTTAAAACAAATGTAAAAAACCAAATATTCGGTTATCTGAAAAACCGGTTTGGTTTAAGAAAAATAAAAAACCGAATTTTTAGTTTACTAATCGGTTTATTATAAAAATATTAAATTAAGATATAAAATAAAAAAATCCGGTTTATTATAAAAATATTAAATTAAAACCAGTTAATCGGTTTTCCTCTTAACTAGTTTGGTTCAATTCTAAGAAAATTCTTGAACCGAAAAACTAGTTCAGTTTTCAAAATCGATTAACTGGTTCGTTAACCGGTTTTGAACACCTCTCATACAGTGACTTTGTTTATCAACAATACGTTTGAAAGACTATTTTGTATTGAAAATTGTTAAATTTTGTTTTTACAGTATTTGTTACCGACAACTATTGATTATTCATATTTTTTAAAATACAAACCGTCCACTCGAGAATTTCTGAGCAAAAATACAAAGTCTAACTTGGGTCTCTATAGATATCTTGGTCTTTAGGGCATGTGACAAAATTTAATGGTTGATAGTAGTATAACTAGTAAGAAAGAAGACAGCTAGCTACCAAAAAGTTTCCAAAATCTTTAAATGAAGGAGACTTCTATGGAAATTTAGACACAAGATCGTCATACCTTTGACCTAATTTAATTGACATATGACCTACTATTTATAATATTCAAATTTAATTAATATATATATATATATATGTGACATATATATTGACACATGATTTATGGTTTATAATATTTAAATTTAAACACAAGATCACCATACTTTTGACCTAATTTAATTGATACATGACCTATGGGTTATAATATTCAAATTTAATTAATATACATACGCGTTAAGACAAGTCGAAAAGTTAATAAGAATAATAATAATAATAAAAACTTTATTGGTAAATTAGGCCTCTTATTGGGAGGACAACTCAATTATTATACTTGACTTAGTCATTGTTGTTTACCTCATCAATTGAAATTTTTTTACTAAAAGACAAGATAAAATATTACTAATAACCTAAAAGATTACTTTAGATGAATTAATTATGTCGTACCGTGAATTTCGTTGTTATTCAAAAATTCTCTGAGCGTTGACGTTTGTAAAATACGAATCTTTATTAATTGGTGTGGTTATAATGTTATATTAAAGAACAAATTTTCACAAGTTTTAATACTAAATCGCTAATTAATTTTTTGTAGATGACCGATAACTGCTCCAACCCAACGCCATTTTGGTGTGGCGTGAAAGATGGCCTTTAAGGGCATCTCCAACCCATACTATTTTGGTGTAAAAAATACCAAAATAGCGTGAAACTGTTGCTCTAATGCAACACTATTTTCTGCACTAATTTAGTGTAGATGAACTATCATACTAAATTTAGTACAATATTGTCATCCACACCAAATTGGTGTGATACTGTTCACACGGCAAATTTTTTTTTTTGTTTTGTTTTGTATTTAAGTTAATTTGATTATTATTTAGAACAATAAATTCATAATAATGATATAATTCAAAAAATAATAAAAAATTAAAAATAAAACTTTATTAAATACAAATATTAAACTACAATAACTCAAATTAACTTATGCACTACGTGTATTATTATGCACAACATGATAATCGAGGATGATCGTAATGTTGATGCATCGATTGAGAATTAGATGGAAGCGCCAACTCCCGAAGCTGAAATTATCGTAGATGAAAATGTTTGATTTCAAAATCAAGGATACAAAAGCTCACCATACTCTTCGAAATGCATTAACTGATCATTTGTGGGAAGAATATACTAATTTAGAAAATTAAATTACTATCAATATGAAATTTTACTTTCGCGTTGTTGTTATCTTTTTTTTTTTGGTATTATTTTATATTAGATGTAATGTTTTTCTATATTAAATGTAATGTTTATCTGATTAAATAAATGCTTAATTTTATTAAATTAGTATAATTTTCAAAGTAATTATTATTTAATAAAAACATCATTCCCAATATTTAATTAATATATACAAAAATAATGAGTGAAATAAATTAATTATTGGTTATTACAATAAAAGAAAAAGAAGGAAAATATTATAAATAATATTCATTTTTGTGTAATATTTGGTGCAATGGGTTAGAGATGTAATAGTGTTTCACACAAAAAATCACACTAGTTTGGTGTGAAACTTACACCAATTTGGTGCAATGGTTTGGAGATAGTCTAACCCAACACCAAACATTGCACCAATTTAGTGTTAATGTATACTGCCACGCCAAATTTGGTGTAGCACTGTTCATACACACCAATTTGACGTGGCATTGTTCAAACACTATAAAAAAAAATATATATATTTTTAAATTTTTTTATTTGTATTTATATTAATTTAATTTGTTTTATATTAATATTTATAATAATAAATTCATAATAGTTATATAATTAAAAAAAATGATGAAAATTAAAAACAAAACTTCATTCAATGCAAATATTAAACTACAATAACTCAAAATAAAAATTAACATTAATTTAAAAATACTAAAATTAAAAGAAAATACAACATAAACTAAAATAACAATTTAATATTCCAATATTCTGGTAGATTATATAATTCAAAAAATGATGAAAAATAACAAATATCATTCTCAATATTTAATTAATATATAAAAAAGTAATGAGTGAAATAAATTAATTGTTGATTATTACATATAAAGAAAAAGAAAAAGAAAGAGAATAATCTAAGGAATATTCTTTTTTGTATAATGTTTAATGGAATAGGCTGGAAATACAATAGTGTTTTACACCAAAAATCACATCAATTTGGTGTGAAACTTACACCAATTTAATGTTTATGGTTGGAGATGGTCTAATAACCTTTCTATTTTTGAAAATTGTGAACGTTTTCAAGAACAACAAACTATTTATATTATTATTATTATTATTATCATTAGTAAGTTTGATTAGCATATGATATGATATAATCTTATTATTTCAAGTGGATTAAATTGGATCTATTCTACTCAATCTATCTATTATCATGTTTGTAAATTAATTAATTTAATATAAAGTTGTAATTTCCATATGTCAAAAGCAGAAACGTATGCAACCAGTTACACACAAACATCACATGCTTTTAATTACTAAACTTATCCCATTTTTCAAACTACTTGAATTAGTCAAACTAATTCGCCAAATTAAATAATTTCACTACAATAACTAAATTATGTAATTGCGTATATTAAATTTTTTATTCAAAATTTAAAATTAAATTATTGGTCGTTTATCTGATTTTCTTACAATTTAGAATCCTTTCTACAATCCAACGTGGTATACGAGTAACAAAATTTCATTTAACATTGAATTTGTTTAGTTAGAAATTAAAATAACTATATTTAACATTGTCTTTTTATTAAATATTGAATTACTTTTGACAAGTCAAGTACTTGTAAATGATTAATTTTTTTTTTATTTAACAATTCTACAATATATTTCTTGAATATTATAAAAACAATCACGTTTGAAACCTTCTCCAATTATAGAATATGTTTTCATTATTGAAGTAATATTATTATTATTATTAATTGTCAAACATTAGGCATTATTGAGTGCAATAATAAAATATATATTAAATTTGCAATTGCAATTAATTTATGTCGATGATCTCTCTATTATTTATTAATTATAGCCGCAATCACGACATTAATTTTATGACTTCAAAGAATCATATTAATTTATTCTCAAACACAAATAAAATATAATGTCAATTTAATTTTCCATGAATTAAATGTTGGGATGAGAATTAAATATTCAACTATTAATATAGTCTAATAAATGAAAAAGTCTATTATAAGACCAAGTTTGGTGTTACATAAGAATTGGATCGATTAAATGTATAAAATTAAAAGTCCAATGTCAAAACTTATTTATTTTTTTGGGTGAGATTAATTAATATTAAACACATTTATAATTAATTGAAAATATTATATACCCCTCTAAAATAATAAAAAACCTCCTTAGATTATTAAGAAAACTTGTTAGTAAAAGTATTTCATAAATTTCGATAATCATGGATAGTTTTAATATTAACTGATCTCAAAGGTTAATATTATGATAATCGATATGTGACTGATCTCCTTGATGGGAAGCATTCTATTAACACCGCCAACTAATACTATATATCATCACTATCACCATGGAGTCATCATCGATCGCACAACTTGCAAAGCTATACATTGGCTTGCTATTGGGGGACCATCACCTCCCCTAACAATAGCGACAAGAGAACTCAAAGTAAGCGTCTTCGTATTTTACGGGACGCCTTGTTTCGGTTCTTGATGAAATCATAAAAAAGCTAGGTTAAAGGAAATAATTAAAGAATCTAAAATATAATATAAATATAATTTATTTGTTATAATTAAACAATTAATCTCTATAATGGACATGTTTTTCATACATAATTAGCTTTAGTTTAAATAGATTCTATAAATTATAGTAGTAGAATGTGAACTCATCTAGTCTTGGTCCATTCTCAATAATTGTTTTAACTTTAATTTGTTTGGTGTACCAAAACATATTACAAACTTAGGACAATATAATTAGAGATGACAATGAGCTCGATATTTCCAGGTACCTGACCCGGTCCGTCCCAAAAAGGTCGAGTTTTATCCGATGTTTGTGGGCTTGGGTTTAGGTCTGGGCTTGATTTTAAGGCCTGACCTCGGGTACGGGCCGAGTCTGGGAATGTCTTCAGACCTGACCCGACAATTTTAGTATTAATTATACTAAATTACCCTTATACTATATATTTAATTACAAGATTATCCTATATATATTCATTTTTCCCAAATCCTTCATCGATGGATGAATGCACTTTATGAAAAGTTATTTATGTATTTGATGAGTATTTAAAAATAAATAAATATTTAAAAATTATTTCTAGAATTAAAAATATAAAAAAAATTAAAATTTATTAATACAGTAAAACCTCTCTATAGTCATAATGTTGAGATTAACTAAATTTATTACTATAAAGAGGTTATAACTTAATAGAAGTGTAATTACAAAAATTATAGTTTTAATTTCTTATTTTATAATTCATGTTTTAATAGTACAGTATTAGGATTTCAATTCATATTTTAGTAACATTAGGATTTCAATACAGCGTTTAAATTGCCTACTTTTGAAACGGATAAAAGATCGTTTCTTAGAACCAGTAAAAATAAGTGTCATTGATGGAACTATAAATACAGACAATTGTCAATGATTTTAAGCACTGCAAAATTAGGACTACTAATGTCAATGAATTGTAAGTTACAAATGAAGTGAATGAGAAGAATAAAAGAGTTACTATAGAATTGAGCGATCAGATTTGACAAATTTACTACACTAATCGAATGGATATTAATGTCTTCTTCGATTATCCAAACGAGCAACAAATCGTGTATACTTTAACCAAAGGAGAAATCATTGTTGCAATTAGACGAGAAGAGAAAGAAAATAATCCTAAGAATAATAGTACGGAAATACAAAAAGTCTTGTGCTGTGAAGCTTTAAACATACTTAAAAAATTAAAAATATTTTAGCTTCAACAAAAAGGTATCCATGCTAATGAGCTGTTACGTACTCGTAAGATAAAAGATGTGATAACAACTTCAAAACATAAATCATTGTCCCAAACAAATTTAAATAGATATTTTATTTCATTTTAAACCTTTAATTTTACATAACATATTTTTTTTTGTAATATACATATAATTATTACTATGTAGAGACAATTTTCCTTAAGGTAGGAATTAGAAAAATTATAACTTATTACAATGTAGAGTTTATTTTTATTTATAACAATCTCAAATTGGGACTATAATTTTTTTATAACTATGTAGAGTTTATTCTTATATAGAGTATCACTATAAAGAGGTTTTACTGTATTTGAAAATTCATATTATAAAATGGACGGCTTGAGCCGAGCCTGAGGTTACAAAAAGCCCGTCGGGCCAGGCTTAGGCTTTACCTGTCATACCCGTGACGAGTTCAGACTGGGCTTAAACCTTTGTCATGAGATCAGGCTTGGGCCTGGGCTAAGGGGTACCCAATCCCGACTCGGCCCATTGCCATCACTATATATAATTCAATCCAATCTTAGACCAAATTATTGTAAAATTTTCCCCATCACACTTTCTCTCGCTCCAATCACTCTTTTCCCGGTGCAAAGCTAGACAATTTTCCAGGGACGGCTAAAGTGTAGTATTTAATGAAAAAGGGGGACAAAGAGAAATTTCATTTTATTTTTTTAACCCAGAAATCTCCAAGACTTGTTTTGCAACCCAAGTTCATAACTGATAGTCTGAAACCCACCAAAACTACGTACTTCTATTCATAAAAACTTTGAACAAGAGACTTTCCTAAGGGCTTACTGGATAAGTTGCCAGGGGAGAAATCAAGACCAAATGCATTCTCTCAAGAACTCTGAAAAGTATTTAATTATAATTCAAGAAATATTTATGAGAAAATTCTTAGAGATGACAAATTCCAAATGAATAACGATTCGTCTAGCTCTCAATACAACAAAATACAAATTGAACTCTTTGGTTTTTTCGACTAAAGCTTATATTATTCAATGACGGATAAGCTCTTAAAGAGTTACAACGAAGCATGCAGAAAATCTTGAAAAAAATTTAATTACTCAAATGGATTAAATACAGAAGAATTTGTTCCACTATTCACATAGATGCATGAGTTGAAAGAGCAAAAACAATTCTGGGTGCTAATTAAAGTGAACTTACGTTCGAGGCAAATATATTTCCACAGTTCAGGTCTATGATTTGAACTCGAGCACGTTTCCAACATGTTCTATTGTTTCCTTTTAGAATCGAGTGACATAGCTTGCACTAGAGCATGCTACTGAATTTCCTGCAACTGATAGCCATTGCTTTTAGCTATTGAAGATTGTTGCTTCTTGCTGAGTTCAACCACATTTCATAGTGCCCTACACCAAAATGAAAGGAGTCCAATTGAGTCATCTCAAGAGAAATTAAATACAGCAAACCGGAGAGAGACCGAGAGAGCCAGTACTGGGCAGAAAAAATTGGGGTAAGGTTTCAAACTTCAGCGTCATGATCAGACTGCTAAACGAATTAAGGCTAGGTTCTAATCAAATGGCAGATCTCGGTTAAGTAATGCTGAATGGCTCACATCTACTTTGCTGTTTGCCAAAGCAAATTGCTGCAACTTGGAATAATCCCCTAAGCCACAATTTTCCCTGGTTTCATCCTTGGCCTCCCGAGACTTTGCATTTTAAATACTCTTCATGTTACCTGCAAGTTCAAATTCGTAAGAGTTTATACTTCATTTTTCATAATGTTTGAAATGCTATAGGCATAAATGAGTATTACAACTGCATTAAAGCCCAAAAACAGGGATGATATGAGCAGAGACGCAATCCAAATTTTTGCTGCCTGGTTCATTAACAGTACTAATGGAAACCTGCTTCATAGTGAAAGCTCAAAGTATTGTATAATACACTAAGTTTGCTAGGTACAACATATTTAGAAAATATTGTATATATAACATTAAAGAGTAATATGGATTCAATTAATATGAACAACTAACCTTATCAGCCAATGTGGAAGCTCTAATTTAGCGGTAATCACCTAGTTAATTAATAAGAATAAACAGTCTTATTGAATAACGTATAATAAAATACAAACTGTTGTAATAAAATTAGTAGACCTACAAAGTTCATCGTACTGATAATTTATTATGAATAAATCTGAAATATAATATGATTAAAAGAGATATGATGAGAAATACAAAGCTTTTCTTCATTCAGTTCAGATATCAATTAGAAAATCAATGAGATTCTGTTTATAGAGTGCCCAAACTGCAGCTGCCCTATTGATCAAATGAAAACTTTCACCAAGAATAAAGCAAACGGAAGTAGTATGTCTTAGATGGTGGAGTTATCCACTGCTTTACATAACTACTCCTTGAATTATGACCATTTTAATTATCTTAAAATGGTAGAAATCCAAGGAAGAGTATTATGTAAAGATGGATGTTCCATCTCTTAGCGCTACTCTCATTGTTGTTTCAATGCAGGTGATTCTACAATTTGATACATGCCTTAATTTACTTTATCTTGGCCTAGCTCACTTGGCTCACACACGCTGCATGGGCTCTATAAATGCTTATGTTATTGTAATTTTTTTTATTGTCCAAACAGAAAAAATGCTTCAATTTATTTGTTCTTCCTCCTCTAGTTAATTTATTTCAATTAAAATAATTATTCACAACACGTTATTAGCATGATGAGCTCCATATATATTAACGATATCACAAGAGCTTATTATTATCTAAGCATTAAATCTACTATGTATTATTTGACATAGATCTTTGTTGTTATGTTCTTATGGTTGGTACTAAATTAGACCTTCCATAGGCTCACATCACTGATTTGAAGTAGATCAAGTTTCTTTTTGGTTTTTTGGGTAACTAAAAATATGCTTTGTTGTATCTTTTCTCTATAATTGATTTTTAAGAAATAAAAAAACCCCAATCTTCATTACATCTTCCTATCATCTACACTCACTCTTGTCAATTTCTTTTCCATCTTTCTCATTTTTATTATTTCTATTCCCTGTTTCTTCTTCTCTCCTAATTAGCCCTGCCATTTCTCTTCACGGTCCTAAATCTCCAAGTCAATGACACCTCAGGTAATTCGCAAAACAAAACTGGCTCCTATACTGATACTAATTTTACCTCTAACTTTCCAGTTAATTTTTTAAAATCTAAATTACCTGCAGAGCAGAATACAAGTGTAAACCTCTATCGAAATGCTTAACTAAACTGAAAACATAACACTTATCAAAAAGGTAGAATTGATCTAACCTCCACCATACAGATTACATATATTAACACAAGTCAGTGTGGTGACTTCAAGGTTTCCTTATACACTCCACACACTTCTAGAGCAAACATGTGAACAGAAAGGTTAAAGATACAAGAAGATAATTCAAGCTCATGGTATGGCATAACAAATTAAAATAAAGAATAAGAAGTGCGGATATCTGACCTCTGTATATACCTAACATGCTGCAAAACGAATGCAACATGAACTTGCGAAGAAGTACTTGGTACTACAATCATTCCAATGGCTGCAAGTGAAACCAATTAGAATTTATCATCTGGGGCAAATCCCCTTTGTAGCATTTCATCGTGGAAACGGAATGCCTCCTTTAAATTGTTTTGGCTGACATGTCCATTTATCAGTGAAGTGTACGTGGACCTATCAGGATTTACACCTTTCTCAATCATTCTCCGAAGTACGAGCTGAGCCTCTTGCATATTTCCTTGTCTACAAAACCCACTCAAAATTACATTGTATGTAATAACATCAGGCAGTAGTCCTTGATTTTCCATCTTGCTAACCAGAACACTTACTCGGTCCATATTCTCTTCCTTTACAAAGCCGTTAATAAGAGTATTATATGTTATGCTATCAGGAACAACCCCTTCTGAGATCATCTTACTTAAGAATTCATCAGCCTTTGATGCATCACCTGAACGACAATACCCCTTTATAATTATGTTACAAGTCACAAGAGTTGGCTTAATACCTTTCCTAACCATCTCATACCACAACCTGAATGCCTCAGTAACATGACCCATACAGCAAAATCCATTTATTAAAATCCCATATGAAATATAATTTGGGAAAATTTTTCGAGAGATCATATCAGTCCATAACTCGTTAGCTTTATCCATTTCACCAACCTTGCAAAACCCATCAATCAGTGTGTTGTATGTCACAATGTCAGGCTTAATACTCTTTTGAGTCATCATATCAAAAAGGTTGAGTGCTTTCGTCATATTTCCATCCTTACAGTTTCCATGAATTAATGTGGTGAAAGTATAAAAATCAGGAAATACACCCCTTTCCAACATCTCCTTAAACAGCTCATCTGCATCAGCGAGCATCTTTGTCCTGCAGAGTCCATTCAAAATAGTATTGTACGTAACGACATCCATAATACAACCCTGCTCTAGCATCTCATCCCGCATTTTCAATGCCTCCAACATGAAGCCGTTTCTACAATACCCATCTATAAGGATGGTATAAACAACAGTATCCAGAGCTACTCCAGCACTCTTCATATGTCTAAAATACATTAATGCTCGATCAAGCTGCCCACTCCTTGAGAATACTCCAATCAGTGAACTAAAGCTAACTAAATCTGGAACAACACCTCGACGAGACATTTCACCTAAAATTTCTTCAGCTTCCAAAATATTATCCTTTCTACAACTCTGAACAAGAAGTGTGTTATAAGTAGCAGTATCAGGGGTTAACCCCATTTGCAAAATCTCATCCAAAACTTCCTTTGCTCTCTCATATCTTCCCTTCCTGCATAAACCATTAATAAGAGAATTATAAGTATAAACACCCGGTCTCAAACCCTTTCCCGACATTGAGTTCATCAACTCAAAAGCTTCTTCCACTTGCCCTTCACGACAATACGCGTTGATCAGCGTATTATTTGTCACAATGTCTGGATAAATCCCTTTCTCTTCCATCTTGCATAAGAACAACTTAGTACTATCGATTTTGTGATCTTTACACAATGCATTAACCATAATATTTAAAGTATAAACGTTCAATTCAATACCACTTCTATCAACCTCTGCATAAACTTGCCATGCCAAATCAACCCAACCAATCTTCACTAACCCACCAAGAAGACTATTGCAAGCATTGATAGAAACACAAATTCCTTTATTTCTCAATACGAGAAAGGCCTCTGATCCTTCTCTTAACTTCCTAGCTTGAACATAAGTCCTAATAAACAAATCAAAAACTAACTCATTAGACCCACAATTCTTATACGTAGAAACCAAAGACTCAACAATTTCTACTCGTGAAACACCACTCTTTCTAACCATCCTAAGAATCAAAGCTTGTGCATCAGATAATCGTCTACTTCGCACCAAAATGTGAATCATTGCACTCAAAGACAAAGACGAATGCTTAAAATTAGCACAATTCAAGGCAATAAAATCAATAAATCTCTGACCCAAATGCAGATTATCACGCAGACGATATAAAACCTCAACTACAGTAACTGGGTTCAAGCGAAATTGATAGTGACGCAAAGAGTTAACATTCCATTGCTTTAAATTGAATAATATTTTCTCCACCAAAAAAGAATCTGAGACTGATTCAGTTGACGGATTCCGAGAGGCTTGCAGGGTGTGCAGGGTTCTGAGGGTTTGGAGAGAGGATGTGAGGGTGAATTTCTGAAGAAGTAGGCGCTGAATCTTTGACATATTTGAAGTGTAGGTGTGTGTTTACGGGTTTAAGTTCGGTTACCGCAACTGAAAGTCTGAAAGCAACTCTTTCAAAATAATCACAACACCTCCATAAAACAAAGATTCTTTGTAAAAACCATAAACCAGACACTAAAACCCACCGATGACTTAAAGACGGCCACGTCTCCGGCACTGAAGCTGCTTATGTTAAGTCCATTGATACAAACTGATAGATATTGAAACGCAGAACACATAAGGAGAAAACAAGAGGAATTTGGCAACTGATATTTCTGAAGAGTGAAATGAGAGAAGTGAAAGGTCAGATTAATGGGCTCAACTGAGGTTTATGAGATTCATTCAGTTCAGATATCAATTAGAAAATCAATGAGATTCTGTTTATAGAGTGCCCAAACTGCAGCTGCCCTATTGATCAAATGAAAACTTTCACCAAGAATAAAGCAAATGGAAGTAGTATGTCTTTGATGGTGGAGTTATCCACTGCTTTACATAACTACTCCTTGAATTACGACCATTTTAAATATCTTAAAATGGTAGAAATCCAAGGAAGAGTATTATGTAAAGATGGATGTTCCATCTCTTAGCGCTACTCTCATTGTTGTAACAATGCAGGTGATTCTACAATTTGATACATGCTTTAATTTACTTTATCTTGGCCAAGCTCACTTGGCTCACACATGCTGCATGGGCTTTATAAATGCTTATGTCATTGTAATTTTTTTTAATTGTCCAAACAGAAAAAGTGCTTCAATTTATTTGTTCTTCCTCCTCTAGTTAATTTATTTCAATTAAAATAATTATTCACAACACGTTATCAGCACAATGAGCTCCATATGTATTAACGGTATCACAAGAGCTTATTATTATCTAAGCATTAAATCTACTATGTATTATTTGACATAGATCTTTGTTGTTATGTTCTTATGGTTGGTACTAAATTAGACCTTCCATAGGCTCACATCACTGATTTGAAGTAGATCAAGTTTCTTTTTGGTTTTTTGGGTAACTAAAAATATGCTTTGTTGTATCTTTTCTCTATAATTGATTTTTAAGAAATAAAAAAACCCCAATCTTCATTACATCTTCCTATCATCTACACTCACTCTTGTCAATTTCTTTTCCATCTTTCTCATTTTTATTATTTCTATTCCCTGTTTCTTCTTCTCTCCTAATTAGCCCTGCCATTTCTCTTCACGGTCCTAAATCTCCAAGTCAATGACACCTCAGGTAATTCGCAAAACAAAACTGGCTCCTATACTGATACTAATTTTACCTCTAACTTTCCAGTTAATTTTTTAAAATCTAAATTACCTGCAGAGCAGAATACAAGTGTAAACCTCTATCGAAATGCTTAACTAAACTGAAAACAGAACACTTATCAAAAAGGTAGAATTGATCTAACCTCCACCATACAGATTACATATATTAACACAAGTCAGGGTGGTGACTTCAAGGTTTCCTTATACACTCCACACACTTCTAGAGCAAACATGTGAACAGAAAGGTTAAAGATACAAGAAGATAATTCAAGCTCATGGTATGGCATAACAAATTAAAATAAAGAATAAGAAGTGCGGATATCTGACCTCTGTATATACCTAACATGCTGCAAAACGAATGCAACATGAACTTGCGAAGAAGTACTTGGTACTACAATCATTCCAATGGCTGCAAGTGAAACCAATTAGAATTTATCATCTGGGGCAAATCCCCTTTGTAGCATTTCATCGTGGAAACGGAATGCCTCCTTTAAATTGTTTTGGCTGACATGTCCATTTATCAGTGATGTGTACGTGGACCTATCAGGATTTACACCTTTCTCAATCATTCTCCGAAGTACGAGCTGAGCCTCTTGCATTCTTCCTTGTCTACAAAACCCACTCAAAATTACATTGTATGTAATAACATCAGGCAGTAGTCCTTGATTTTCCATCTTGTTAACCAGAACACTTACTCGGTCCATATTCTCTTCCTTTACAAAGCCGTTAATAAGAGTATTATATGTTATGCTATCAGGAACAACCCCTTCTGAGATCATCTTACTTAAGAATTCATCAGCCTTTGATGCATCACCTGAACGACAATACCCCTTTATAATAATGTTACAAGTCACAAGAGTTGGCTTAATACCTTTCCTAACCATCTCATACCACAACCTGAATGCCTCAGTAACATGACCCATACAGCAAAATCCATTTATTAAAATCCCATATGAAATGTAATTTGGGAAAATTTTTCGAGAGATCATATCAGCCCATAACTTGTTAGCTTTATCCATTTCACCAACCTTGCAAAACCCATCAATCAGTGTGTTGTATGTCACAATGTCAGGCTTAATACTCTTTTGAGTCATCATATCAAAAAGGTTGAGTGCTTTCGTCATATTTCCATCCTTACAGTTTCCATGAATTAAAGTGGTGAAAGTATAAAAATCAGGAAATACACCCCTTTCCAACATCTCCTTAAACAGCTCATCTGCATCAGCGAGCATCTTTGTCCTGCAGAGTCCATTCAAAATAGTATTGTAAGTAACGACATCCATAATACAACCCTGCTCTAGCATCTCATCCCGCATTTTCAATGCCCCCAACATGAAGCCGTTTCTACAATACCCATCTATAAGGATGGTATAAACAACATTATCCGGAGCTACTCCAGCACTCTTCATATGTCTAAAATACATTAATGCTCGATCAAGCTGCCCACTCCTTGAGAATACCCCAATCAGTGAACTAAAGCTAACTAAATCTGGAACAACACCTCGACGAGACATTTCACCTAAAATTTCTTCAGCTTCCAAAATATTATCCTTTCTACAACTCTGAACAAGAAGTGTGTTATAAGTAGCAGTATCAGGGGTTAACCCCATTTGCAAAATCTCATCCAAAACTTCCTTTGCTCTCTCATATCTTCCCTTCCTGCATAAACCATTAATAAGAGAATTATAAGTATAAACACCCGGTCTCAAACCCTTTCCCGACATTGAGTTCATCAACTCAAAAGCTTCTTCCACTTGCCCTTCACGACAATACGCGTTGATCAGCGTATTATTTGTCACAATGTCTGGATAAATCCCTTTCTCTTCCATCTTGCATAAGAACAACTTAGTACTATCGATTTTGTGATCTTTACACAATGCATTAACCATAATATTTAAAGTATAAACGTTCAATTCAATACCACTTCTATCAACCTCTGCATAAACTTGCCATGCCAAATCAACCCAACCAATCTTCACTAACCCACCAAGAAGACTATTGCAAGCATTGATAGAAACACAAATTCCTTTATTTCTCAATACGAGAAAGGCCTCTGATCCTTCTCTTAACTTCCTAGCTTGAACATAAGTCCTAATAAACAAATCAAAAACTAACTCATTAGACCCACAATTCTTATACGTAGAAACCAAAGACTCAACAATTTCTACTCGTGAAACACCACTCTTTCTAACCATCCTAAGAATCAAAGCTTGTGCATCAGATAATCGTCTACTTCGCACCAAAATGTGAATCATTGCACTCAAAGACAAAGACGAATGCTTAAAATTAGCACAATTCAAGGCAATAAAATCAATAAATCTCTGACCCAAATGCAGATTATCACGCAGACGATATAAAACCTCAACTACAGTAACTGGGTTCAAGCGAAATTGATAGTGACGCAAAGAGTTAACATTCCATTGCTTTAAATTGAATAATATTTTCTCCACCAAAAAAGAATCTGAGACTGATTCAGTTGACGGATTCCGAGAGGCTTGCAGGGTGTGCAGGGTTCTGAGGGTTTGGAGAGAGGATGTGAGGGTGAATTTCTGAAGAAGTAGGCGCTGAATCTTTGACATATTTGAAGTGTAGGTGTGTGTTTACGGGTTTAAGTTCGGTTACCGCAACTGAAAGTCTGAAAGCAACTCTTTCAAAATAATCACAACACCTCCATAAAAGAAAGATTCTTTGTAAAAACCATAAACCAGACACTAAAACCCACCGATGATTTAAAGACGGCCACGTCTCCGGCACTGAAGCTGCTTATGTTAAGTCCATTAATACAAACTGATGGATATTGAAACGCACAACATATAAGGAGAAAACAAGAGGAATTTGGCAACTGATATTTCTGAAGAGTGAAATGAGAGAAGCGAAAGGTCAGATTAATGGGCTCAACTGAGGTTTATGAGATTCCAGGGAGAGAAAATTTAAGTCCCAGACATCCCAAGTTTGCATTTAACAAAATGGTTTTGAAAATCTTTTTGGGTGCGTTTGGCTCCCTGTTTTTATCCATATTCCCAATCCTATTCTCCAAATAATGTTTGGCACACTATTCCAGAAATATTACCCTATTTTTTTAATTACTTTTAGACCCCATAAGGTTATTAATTTCACTAAATGCCCCCTGAATTTTTTTTTTAAAAAATTAACAAAAAACCCCCCATCAACCCAATTTGTCAGATTCCGGCAACCATCGCCGGTGATAGCCGGAATCTGTACAACGGCCTAAATTCCGACCATAAATGGTCGGAATTACACCGATCTGGCCGTCAGCGACGGCCAAAGATGGCCGTCGTTTTGGCCTTTCCGGTCGTCGACGGCCATAATAGGCCCTTAGATCTAGCCGGAAAAGGCCATAATGATGCGTTATGGCACAGATCCGATCGGTCTGTGCAGTAACGAAATTTTCCGGCCAGATTCCGGCGGTGGCGGCCGGAATCTGACACTGCAGGTGGTAGGGGTGTTTTTGTCATTTTATATAATAGGGTCTTTAATTAAATTAGTAAACCTATGGGCTTTTTCATAAATTTTTCAAATTTACCTCGTACTACTCCCCTATCCAACAATCCAATATTATCCTCAAAATCCTATCCAAAATACTACACCAAACGCACCCTTTGATATTTTCTTTTTAATTAAAAAAAACTGACATGGCATATTTAACATCCATTAAACATATAAAATAGGTTAAACTGAAAATAGTTAAACATATATAGGTAAGATAATAATTAACAAAAGTTATTTAAATTTTGAAATTTGAAAATGAGCCAAAAAATGACTGAAGAAGACTATTCCTTTCTCTACTATTTCTGGCGACTACAGTGCCCAAATCCTGACAAAATTTCAATCCATTTTCAATCTTAAAGCTTCCTTACACGAAACCATGGTTGACATTCACAAAGAGGAGGAAAACCCAACCCCACTTCGAATTCTAGACTCCGACGGCGCCAACAGTTCAAAGGCTGTCAAAGACGACGCTTCGGTGGATCATTCGATGAGTGAAGGTGGTCTATAGGCAGAGGAGACGACGGCGACACAAGAACATAGAGAGAATCGGAAAATGGTTCTGAAGAGGAGGATGCTGGCGAGAATTTAGGCGAGGAAGAGGACGTCGGTGAAGAAATGGTATGTACTTTTACTTTTTTTTTTTTGAATTGGATGAGAAAATGGATTGATTTGTGCGAATTTATGGGAGATGTGGTTGTGGCGTTTTGTCAAGTAGTTGGCGGGCATTGGTGGAATGGCTTTGTTTGGGTTCTAGAGGATGGGGGAAGGTAAGGGAGGCCGTAGGGAGGTTGTTTCAGGGAGTTTAGTGGGTTGGGGATGTCAGGAGGTGGCCAAATTTGGCGGGCTGGAGGGATGCCCTACATATTGGCAAGGCTAGCCATGCATAGTACGCACAGTGCTGCGCGCTGTGCGAGGGGTTGCATGATTGTTTGCATAGATTTTAGAATTTAGTGTGAGATTCAAACCAAGTAAGGTGGGGAACATATTCATATGGAAATTGAAAACTAGATTAAATGTGTATAATCTGGAGATAGATTACATAAATATAGAACAGAAAACTAACAGCCAAAAGATTCATTAGTTCTAAAAAGCAGGATATACCTTGGACAAAGCATCCATAGCACCTTCCATATGATTGATGTCATTGTTGTCCAAGCAATTTACTAGAGCTTGCAACAGTTCAGGCTGTACTGAAATCCCACCTAGTTGAACAAAAACACTAACAATAGTCCCAACAGTGGACCTGATGTGCCTATCAGCAGCTCCTAAACAAGGCAACAACTCTGACTTTATATACTTTTGGTTTGCAGGAGCCATAGATTTGTATGCTGTTCTAAGGTTATTTTTCAACAACAAACTAGCAGCTTGTCGAACCTTCACCGATTTACCCTGTTTAAAGTTCCCATAAACATAATAGCAATACTTAACCAGAAGCTTTAAGCTACATCACCACCTAGAAGTTATCAGAAGTATAACTAGAATTCAAAAATATTTCAAGTCAAAACCTCAATTCATTCGCACTTCAAGATTCAATATGTTATTAGTCCAACAAAGAGATCAATAAGGTTGTAGTTCAGAGTTGTTATTTCAAAAGGGTATTAATCAAAATGCCATCAGTTTGAGCAGATGAACTTTAAAATAAAATAGTGACAACATTATTGCCCATAATTGACTACTGTAGGGCTGTAGGGGTTGCATGATTGTTTGTAGGGCTGGCTATGATTGTTGTGTTAGAAGTGTTAAATTGTAGGGTTGGCTATGATGCATTAGATTTTTCGTTGCTTTATTATATAGCGGGCAAATTACTTTCTTTGTTATATTTTGATTGAATGTCAAAACACTAGATGATTGAAGGATAAATATTAAATATCATTATATGATTAGGCAGTTTATTATTAGAAGAAGGTCACTACTTTTAGGTTGGCTCACCATCACCACTCAACTTTATACCATAATTTTGAAATCAAACAGAACCAATGAAACCACAAAAAGCTCTATTTTTTTTTTTTTTTAATATTTACTTTATATTGATTGTGCAGATTTTCCAGAGCATAAACTATAAAGACTATGGATTGGAGGTTGTAAGCGATAAGGTACCGTACTTTCCTGTAAGGGTGTCAGTTAGGTTGAGTTGGCAAGTTTTTACAAGAATAATGAAGATTTTACAGGAACTGAGGAATGGTTTAGACTGATTCAAAGAGAGTTGTTTCGGTCATTTTATGAAGATGGGAGAAAATTGGAAAAAGGCGTTCTGGGGGCAGGGAGTGCATTTTATGTTGTTGCACTCAGTTAAAAGCAAAAAAAAGAAAGAAATGTGGTTCGTGGTGGATGGAAACCCACTACGTTTTGGGATGATGGAATATGCCTTGGTGACATGCTTAAGATGTGGGAAATTTCCAGAAGCGGTAGAGCAATAGAGAATAAAGAACAGTAGGGCAGCCGTAAACTTTGCTAAAAAGGTTTTGGGGGAGAAAGCTTCTATTTTGTGATTTGATTTAGAGGAGAGGTTAGAAGAAGGTGGGTATACCTCTTCAGAGAAGTTCAAAATGTGCCTAGTATGGTTCGTGCATTCGATCCTAATGGCTTCAGACTCAATAAAAGCCGTTAATATGGATTGGGTGAAGTTTGCAAGCAACTTAGACTTCTTTAATGCTTATCCGTGGGGATGGGCATCATTTATGCTAACCATGGACTCCCTGTAAGGAAAAGACATGGCGTTAAAGTAGTCCCAATCTGTTGGTAAGAATAGAGCGAGCACATACAATTTGTTTGGCTTCCCATGGGCAATGCAGGTAAATATTAGGGGCTTTTTGTTATATTTTTTGTATTATATGTGTTTTGATTATGATATGGAGACTTCAGATGAATAACCACAATTTCCTAAGATGTTGCGGTGGCACATCGAGAACTGTACCTATTGGGATTACGATAAAATAGACGTCGAAATTCAAGCGGCTAGGGTAAGATTAAAGGATTAAGCTTTTGAATATGCACTTGCTTTTAAATGTGGCTTAAATATGATTGATTTTGTTTCTTATTGCAGGGAGTCGTCCGTCCCTTCCTCACTGCTACCAGGGGTGAAGCGGGAGAGGAGTATGTTACATCCTTCGAAGCATTGGAGGATGAAGCAGATGAAGGGATAGATCGCCTAATGCGGGACCTAAAAGGGGTCACGCATGTGAGTGCAGCTGCAAGGCCACTGCTTGAGAATGTTGGTGACGTCGAGGATGATGAAACTCCAATTGGTGGGAGGGAGGAGGTGGAGGAGGAGGAGGAGGAACATGTTCGTACGCCTTCGCCCAATTGGGAAACCAGTACAATAAATACCTCTTTGCCGAGGTGTCGGGGTCGGGAGAATGAGGTGGTTGACCTCATAAATGGTTTGTTTGAGAGTTTTACAACAGTCGTTTATGAGAGGTTTGAGAAGATGGAAGAGCAGATGAAAAGGGTGGAGGAGAAAGTTGATAAGGTGGCAGAGAAAGTTGGTGGAGTATTGAAAGCGGTTGAAGTGCAACATGAGCTGAAAAGAGAGAGCCAAAAGAGTAAGTTTATCAAATCTCCTTACACCGTAGCAACGTATGGAAAGTAGAGAAAAATGAAGAAAAAAATTGAGAAAGTCCACGAAAGTGGAGAAGCAAAAATAGAGGAGGTTAAGGAGGTTGCTGGAGGAAGTAGGGAAGTGATAATGGAGGAGGGTGAGGCAGGACGCAAAGGAAGTGGGGATGTGCAAATGGAGGACGGGGGAGGAAGTGGGCAAGCGAAAACGGAGGAGTTAAAGGTCGATTTGTATAGGCCAATAGAAAAGGAAAAGAAAAAACTCTTCTATGCCTATTACAATAAATCTGGAAGTGATGCCCATGTGAAATGCAAGATCGAGGATTATCCCCGGGATTGGTTTAAAAAGATGTTAACGATGGGCAGGTGGCTTGACGACTCGGAGAGTTATTTTCCCTTATTTTTTCTTATTTTTGCTTATGTTTTCCATGAGGAATTGTATACTTATCATATTGTTTTTATTTGATGCAGCACATCGATGAGGTATTGGCACTCATGAGTCTACGACAGAGCAGCAATGGTGATATATTGTATCCCAATTGTGCCATCACCGATGTGGCTTTTGGCCAAACGCTAGTAACGACATATGACACTTTAGT